CACAAAAGTTCTCCAACCTTCAAAGTTGATTAATGAATCACAATATATCATGTTCAGCAAATCACAGGTCCATCCTAACGGGTGTATAAATTTTATTCCTATTTAAAGGAGGAAAACTCAGGGATCAAATGAAAGTTTAACTTGCTCAAGCTAGTACAGCAGAGATGATTCTATAAATGAGATGTCCTACCTTCCAGGCCATTGCTGTTTGCTAAATGGGAGCCCATAAAGCAAAGAAATTCTCATTGTTTATGGATTTAAGGCATATATGCTTTTCACCCCCAAATTTTCTCAGTTTGCAATGCTGTCAGTCTCTCACAAGAGACAAGCAATTACATTCAAAGACCAAGCTTTGACTAACTTCTATCCTAGGTACCAACATATAGTCTCACAGTTCTTATTAGTATTATTAGAGGTGAAATGCACCCTGATAATGATAAGCACAGTCCAAACCATGTATTCCTACCTTGAAGAATAAGCCACTCAAGGACTAATGCCCAGGATGAAACTGTAATGGCGCAACATGTGTGATAACATGGAACCTCCGTTTCTCCACATTCTTTCCCCCCAATAGAGAAAGATCACACCTAACCATGCACCTGCACAGAAGACTTTATGGCAAAGACTCTCCTTGAAAAGTGGCTGAATGAAACAAACACCTTGTAAAAGGAAATAAATTCAAACTTGACCTCCTTGTCCCTTTCACAAGTAATTACATGTGAAGTGTGCACACTACACTCCCAAGTTATCTCTTCCCTGTTTTGGAAAACCTAAACTTCCCAATCAAAATAGTTCAAGCCTACTTGAAAGTTCCCTCAAGTTTCCTTGAAAGGAAAAACTGAAGAGTATTTTTTTGGATCAAATCAATATTTAACTACATGCCTGAAAAGAGAGTGGTGTAGTGAATATGCCAAAATACTTGACATCTAAAGAAAAACATCAAGTGAACCATACTTTGGTCACTTCTAAGAAACTTCTGCCAGTCTCATAACAGTTTGCAACTTGCATTTACCAGATTTAGAATTTCTTTTTTAATAGCTTCACTGATAGTACCAGGCCCCTTTTTTCCCTCCCCAGTTCTAGACCTAGGAAGGCAAAATATAATAGGGAAAGAATCAGAGGTCTAAATCTTAGTTAAAATCCTAGGTTAGTTATTCTACTGTATGACTGCAGACAATTTAGGTAATATGGTTATAAATATTCCTCATTTTTAACACTGCTAATGGCTCTTACTAAAATGGCTCTTACTAAAACCAGGACATATGCCTGGTAGGTACAGAGCAAATGTTCCCTCTTTTTCCTCAGAATGACTACATGTAACCTCAGAACAAGAAAGAACTGACTTAAATTTCAGACACCAAAGTGGTTCCCAGTGCCCAACCAGCCCCAGATCATTACTTGCCAATCTGCCTTTTTGAATCTGTTTACAGAACAGTCTATTATCTGATTCATTATGCTAGTAATAGAGGGTTTGAAAGTTCCTTCCCTCCAACTCAAAGAAAGACTCCTTAGGATAGCTCCTGGAAAAAAAGAGATTGGAGGGTAAGTGGCAAACAGTGCCAGCAAGTCAAAGATTCATGAAAATTGTGGAGTGAGGTAGAAAAAGGTGTATTTGGACAAAATCAACAACTCTTCACTATACATAGACTTACCCTCATTGCTTTATCTTTGGAAATAAAGGACATGAGCATATATGTATTTGTGTGTATGTGTGTGTGTGTGTGTGTGTATTCCCAACAATGAGACAATGTTTTATAAAGGCATTAGTCATATGCATAATTTTAAATGGGTGGAACTAAAAACAAGAATGCATAAAATATATATTATATATAGCATACATATACAATATATATAATATATATATACACCTAAAAAGAAAAAGATTTGAAGATGACTGAATCTTTATAAAAAACTTCCATCAAAGAGTAATAGAACATGACACACATAAAAGCACATCATCTTATAAGGTCTACCTGAAAGGTAGATCAATGATGTAAATAGTTAAATGTAAACAAGGAGTCAATAAACTTTTCCCTCAAATAAATTTTGCAACCATTATTATAAGAGTGCTAAAGATAAATTCAGGAATGGTAGACTCTTTAAGAGGACTAAGCTCTTAAGATTTGGTTTCAACTTTTACTAATCACTAATTACAGGAAGTTCAGTAACTCAATTCTCTTGTTAGCAATCTCATTTATTACCACTCAATTTTTTTTTTAAATTACACCTCTACTGATCTTAATTCAATAATCTGTTACACTCTCAGCCACCTTTCCATTTATTCCCAATAGGGTTTTTTTTGTTTTTTTTTTTTAGATTTATACAGTTTAACTCATAGATTTAGGGGGGAGGCAGTAAAGGGACAGTTTTATTCTATCAAGATTTTTCAGAAATAAGGACTTCAGTCATTTAGATTTTATTTACACTTTCCCAAGGCTTTGTATTCTAGAGTTTGGGGAGTGGGATAGTTTTCCTTGCCTAAAATGGCTCATTATTAATGGAATAATACTTACAATGAAGTGTTGTATACTTTTCTATACAGTATTACTATTTCATGTTTCTCCCAAAACACTTCTATAATAATCAACATATAGGAAAATATATAAAATATATAAATACTATCAATAATGCCAATATGATTCCCATTGTCTCAGGGTACAAAACTCACCCCCATATGTACTTTGAACCTGACGCCTAAAATGTGTCCTTCAAGCTTGAGCTCCATAGTTAAATGGTTTGGGTTTATCTCTTAAGCAATTCTTGAATAAAAAGTTGAGTGTATTGCATGCACAATTTCAGGAAAAAACTGACAAGAGAAACCACCATAACTCTGTACTTCCATCAGCCCAAAGATGATTCAGTTAACTCCTCTAGCAGGGCGCAAAAGCTGATTAAGGAGAGTTACAGTCAACAGCATGCCAATTGTCCACGTGCATCCCTAACAGGAGGGTCCCCACGCTGAGACTTTCCCAAGAGCTTTGACTTTTTTAAAAAGATTAGCCGGCATTTTTTGTTTGTTTGTTTCTCTTTTTTAAACAACTAAATGGATCTGCCATCTAGTATCTCCATGTGATGTACAATAGAGCAAAAATAGCCACAACAACCAACCAAGGCCCCCAAGGAACTTGTGAGAGTCATAAATGTCTACACATTAAATTTGTGACTGCTAGACTTAACAGTAACACAAATCCACCTTGTTAGTGACAGGGCATTATTTTCTAAAGATTAACTCATACCATATGTTATTAATCAGCAAGGTAACTGAAAGCTCAGGCAAAAAAAAAAAAAAGAAAAGAAAATGCTATCCCAGTTGAGCAGGACTTAATTGCATTATTGTTATTATTATGGCTGCTGCATGATTTCCCTGTCACTGGTCCTTCTACTTCAAGTACATACATGCAGACACACACACACAGAGACAAACACACACACATACCATGGATGGAAAGACAAAAAATCCAGAGCCAGGAGGTAAGAAACATGTCTAGAAGGAAGAGGATTTTGAATAAAAAAATAAGTCTCTGGAAAGATGGATCAAGTGAACACCCAGGTTGCCTTGAGAAATAATTAAGCCTATTCCTTTTGATTTCAGAGTCCCAGCTTGCATAAGGAGGGAGCAGCTGTGGGAGATCACAGAAGATGCAAAGCAAGACAGTCGATTTCATCTATCTCCCTACCACACCACAGTTTCCCCAGTGGTCTGATAAAGCATGTGGCCTCTTTTATCCCAAAGAGCACAAGACTAACCTGCCATCTAAAACATTATTCTCCATATCAAACCAGCCCCATATAAAAGCAAAAAGAAAGGTAATTTAAATATCCCAGTGTTTTGGCTTGAGTCCTCTACTAAAACTATGAGGTTATACAGTAAAAACCTGCCAGCAAACAAAATTTGGCTTCCTTGAACACAAGTTTCTCTTGCCATAGTCTTGTGAAGTTTGGAGTTAACTAGTTAGGAGGGATAGTGTACAAGTCTAACGAAGAGGATTCCGACCTTTCCTGTTTCCTTCCCAATACATCCCTTAAAAGAGACTGAGTTACTGACAATCTTAGACTGGAGAGCCAACTGCAGTACAGACTCTGGCAAGGGGCATGCTAGGGGTAGGCCGCCACACCCTCTCCAGCTCACAGCACACTGACAGACTGGTTGGGAGAGGCCCAAAAACTTACTCCCAGGGAGAAAGGGAGTCGTTAGTGTTTTGGATCTGAGGAGCTGGAAAGCTAGAAGGGAATTTTGGGAGGGAGTCGGGCGCTGAGCAGAGTGTGCTGGTAGGAGAGAGGGGTCGTGTCGCCCGGGAGTTAGGGCAGTTCGCAACACGTCCCCGCAAAACTGCACATTTTTGTGGTTTGAGATTTAAAGACCAAAAGGAACGCGCTGAAGTAAAGCTTCTTTCTCTCCCGGTTTCAGATGCATCCTTCTTACTTAGAGACTGGGGAGCCACACTGTCGCGGGTTTCCTTCTCTTCCCTTTTCGGGGAAGCTCCCCTAAGCCAAACCGCGACGTCTGCTCTCCAAGTTCGCCTTTGCGCAACGCCCGGCGCAGCGCCCGCCGCCAGCCACACGCGTCCATCTGCCCCGACCCCGCGGGATGGTCCTCAGGGACTTGGGTTTGTCGGGATTTCTTTTTTCTTTCAAACAAAAAGCCAACACGGCTCGCCGCCTCATCCCCGGCCGGCACCACCTTTCCCTTCACGCCCACGCCGCACCTTCCCGGCACACGCGCTGCGAGGTGCCTCTCCCGCCAGACAATGGGTCCGGGCTTGGCCGGGAGCCCGCTCCTACCCCCAAGTCCATCCCGTAACCCCCGAGAGCGCTGAACGCGGGGCTCTTGAAGGGGGACAGAGAAGAGTCGGGGAGACCACAATGGAGAAGGTGGGTGCCTCACCCCAGGAACAGGAGGCTCGCTCCCGGAGCGGAGAAAAGGGGAGGGGGCCAGGGTCAGCTGCGCCGCCGGGCCGGGAACTCGGGGGCCCAGAACCCAGCAGCCGCCGCGCACTCACCAGTACGATGGCAAATCGTTCTTCCAGTTCACCTGGCTCGGGCATCGGCAGCTTCAAAGGCACGTTGTGCGCTCTGAAATCGGTCTGCTGCGAATCCATGCTCCCTGCGTTGCCCATGTTGGCTGCACGCCGAGGCCGGGGACTGCTCCGTGCCCCTCTAGTCCGCTTCGGAAATCAGAACAGCTCCCGGTGGCCGGCGTTCCCGCCAGCAGGCGCGACCAGTCCGGCTCCCCGCCCTCCGTTGCGCCCCGGCGAGTGTGCAGCGCGCACCGCTCCCTAGCAGCGCTATGAGTCGAGCCAGCCCCCGGCCTCCCTCATGCTCTCCGCCGCCCCAGAGCGGCCCCGGCCTCTTTTCCTCGGGAGGGGTCGTCAGGGCGCTGGGCGCCTATCTGCATGTTGCTCTGTTGGCACGTCGCCCCCTGCCAGCGATCCCCGTCAGCAGGCGCGTGGTTCGTGTTACTCGGGCTCCCGCCAGGGCCTCGACCGCCGCTGACACTTGCAGTCCACAGCCGGCCACCACAGCGATCGCTCCGCGAGCACCTCGAGCAGACAAATGCAGCTCCGCGCTCCCGACACAATGCCCCCTCTCGTCCGGCCCCCGCCCCCAGCCCGGCTCCGCCCATTCGCCCCGCGGACTGCCGGGACCCGTAGTTTCCACCCAAAGTGTCCGCTTGCAGAACCACGCCATCTCTGGAGGGCTAGAGGGGCTGGGACAGCTTGCAGCAGAAGCAGTCTATAAAAGCTTATGTCATTTTTGACAACCCTTACTCCAGTAGTAGAAGTAAGTGCCCAATCTGCATCATTCTGACACTTAGTACCTACTAATGAATGAATGGTCCGATCAATAGTGAATGCTCACATTCTTACTTAAATATCAGAAAGATTGTTACTTTCCAAAGTTCAAGAGGGGGAAAACAGATAATGGCTCCATCCTATTGCATATAATGAGGTGTGGGCCGATCGGTGTTTGTTTCCTTACTTTTCTTTTTATGTATGTTACATATCTTTTGTGCGACTGAAATATTTTATGGCTATTTTATAAATGTAGATTCGACTCAAAAATCAAACACCTATCGAATGACTATTATACTGTGTTCCTCAGTGGGAGAAGAAAAAGACTGCTACTGCTCTGGATTACTTCACAATCTAGTAGAGGAGGAAATGTAGTGTTGGGACATGATTTTGACTATAACTCCATAATAATCTTCTGCTTTACAGAAAAATTTGGCCCTACCACTGTGCTCCGGGATGCATTTCACATTATAACTATCAGTTCTGAAGCTGTGGTAATAGGGAAGACAACCCTATAAAGATAGCCAACAGCTCATCTTTTAGGTTTCAAGTGCATCCACCTGGTGAACTCTGGGCTTACCTCTTGCAATTACTCCTTTCTTACCTTACAGTGGTGTCTCTTATTCCTAGCCTGTCTATCAAGTGTACCTGGAAAGTTGAGTTAAAACAGCACACACCTTGGATCCTTTTCTATTATCAGAATTCTTTGTTGAAATGACAAAAGCAAGAACTTAACCAAAGCCTGTGAAGCAAATAAACCACCTCTAGTCTTTTTAAACAAAGAACGAACTTCACTTAAAAGACTGAATAAATATAATCTATATTGTAAGATTGCATTATAGCAAACAAAGAAAAACAGGAATACACACACACATTTACACCCTAATTAGTGAAATGAGTGGGGGGGGAAGCAGTTTGTTCAGGCCAAATGAGACATTTCTGACCCACAAATTTTCTTTGCAATCTCTAGACATAAATTTTTAGTCTTCATTGACTCACAAAATCAAGTATATGTGATTTGTTATAGTTGGTGTCACAAAACATTGGTGAAAAATACTTTGTTAAAACTAACCATATTTCTTGGAAACTGAAATGTTAACACTATGTCTTCCATAGTGCCAGGCATTTGAAAGTTTTGTGAAGAATGATTTGGTCAGGGATTCTTTCATGACAGCGTATTTGCTTTCAAAGAAGTTTTCCCATCATTCACAATAAATACACATGTGAAATCATAGAGGAACTAAAACAGAACTTCCCTGTTTCACAGTTTTAAATGTCATAAAGTGAACTGTAGCTAATTTCACTTACCTTCTTTATTTTTTTTTGTTAAAAATTTATTTATTTATGCATATAAGAACTGGGGTACAGGTCAGAGATACAGGGGTTCAGATGACTTACCAGAGACAGAGTGGGGAGCAGGACAGGCAGATCTGCTGAAATATATTGCTCAGGTGAGCAGCTGGCAAGACAGGAGAGGTCTGTTACACCATGTGGGTCACCTCCCTGGCCAGGGACTGAACTCATGCTGCGGTGGCTGTGGATAGCCGGGCAGTGCTGTGCTTTAACCCACTGCACCACTGGGAGGGTCCCCGCTAAGCTTCATTAAAAGGTAATAGTATAACCCTAAGAAGATTCTCCTTGTGTATATAATTAAATAAAACTGAGGTAAGTGCCTGTAGAGTAAATGAAATGGAGCAGGGTAAATTGAAGTTAACAGGTTTCTTCTGTCCTCTGACAGTCAATGACCAACACCTGTGGTCTTACATTACACGTGGGCCTAATGTTGGCCACCTGGAGTGTGTGGTGTGGGCGTGTATGGGTGAAAACAGCTGAGCCTGGAGGCTGAGCATAGAAGGGTGGCCACCAGAGTACTATGAGAGCAAATATTCACCAGGGGGCTAAGAAGGCTCCAGCCTCCTGGCCCCAGGCCTCCCTGTCTTCTGTATACCTGATTATCTCACTACAAATAGTCTAGAAAGATGATTTAAAGCCTTAAAAGCCACAGAGGGCTTCAGAAATCTCCTTTACACATCTGCCTGGATCCATAGAGACCCTGCACTGTGCCTTGCTGGCACTATACCTTCATATATTTATTTTGTAACATTTTTCAACTAATTATGTGCTAGATGCTGCTATTGATTCTACACTTCATAAAAACTTTTAACATAATATTATGAAGATTGCGCAAGTGTGCACACCTGTATCTAGGAGGGAGGGGGAAAAGGAAGATATCACCCTGGGGATGGAGGCTCAAGTTGCTGTCTCCCTGCTGGCTGGTTTCCTCGGCATTAAAAACTGTGAAAATGATGCCAAGAGCTCCAAATGTCTCTTTCAAATTGCTAGAACCAACAGTGAACCTACCCAGACTGGGACGGATATAAAACAACCCCCTAAAAAAGTACTGAAACTTTCAAAATAGCTGATATGTTGAACAGGTATACCCTTGTCAGATTTGAAATATATAAAAATTTTAAGTCCGTCATAAAGGAGGAAGAAAAAACATGATGAAACACTGAGGTCTTTTGAATGGGCCTTCAAATATTTGTACCCCTTTGTCTATGCCTTGCTTCATCAATTGGTCAGTCTGAAAATAGTTTAACGGGGTGAAGCCTAATTGGTTGCCATCTAGAAGTTATTTGAGGCACTCTGGATGAAACACCTGTGCAAAAAAAAAAAAAAAAAAAATCGCCAAATGCAGAAGGCACTGCATGTAAAGTCAACTTCAGGCTATTTTTCACCATCCTCCCCTCCCAGTCACCTACTCTCTGCCTTGATCCTGCATTCCTGTCTGATGTTGCCTCCTCTAAAATCCTCTTTAACCACCTCCTTTAAAACTGATTGTCTGGGAGGGGCTTAGCCTGGGATATAAACAATGGCAACAACAAAGGAATGTGCTGCTGGCTTGTAATGCCTTCTTTTATTTCAGGGAGTCCTCTTAACTTCCCAACTTAATATTAGCTGTCATCCAGGAGGGCAATGGTGTCTGGACTGGGATGCGTGGGAAGCCCAGGATGCCACATCCACACCTGCCCTCCTCTTCTGATAAACAAGGAGCTCAGTCTACAAGGCTATCCATCTGGCACCTTTCAACAGCCTCCAAGTTTAGGAAAACAAACCTTTGCGGGTGGGGGAAAAGGAAGAGTTAAAAAAAAAAAACCCAAAGGGAGCATTTTTGTCTCTGGCTGCAATGTTTTCAACCATAATAAACTGCTTGGAGGGGGAAAGGGAAGAACAAATTGGAGTAAAATCCAGTTCTACAGATATATATTACACAAATTACATATGTAGATTTAAAATTTTACCCACTTTTCTCATTTATTTTTTGAGTGAGCTAATTTTTAGGGGAGTGCTATGTTTCTTTCTGAAATCTCCTGTCTGTTCTTCCCTCTGTGACTCAGCCCAAATACATAAAAAATTGCCCCTTTAGGCTTTCAGAGAAGTAATTTTCACAAACCCATGATTATTCTGTCTAGTGAATTTGAATTCCCTAACTTGCAATTTCAACTCTAAAGGCTAATATGTTGGTAAGATGTATATGTTTGTCAGACTTTACCCCATCTCACTTGCTTACTGACTATTGGGAATTTCATTAACCTCTTCAAGTCTCAGTTTTTACATCTAAAAGGAAAATAAAGACACATACCACCAGGCACTAGTGGTCAAGATTAAGGAAAATAACTTACATAAACCAACTATCAAGATCATGCCTAATGTATGATATTTACCTCATGTTCTTTCAAGAGGGTGATGAATTTAATCTTGGGCATATAATTTAGAGAACAAAATTTTCCACAGTAGCTGAATGAGTAAAGTAAAAATATGGAAATACATGGTACTTCTTTTAGATAACAGATATATCTACATAAAATTAAACATGTACTGGTTAAGAGTTTATGAATGCTTCCTAATGTCCCAGTTCTCCCAATGATAAAGTTCTGTTGTGGTTACTCAAAAAGATAATAATTGAAAAGAAAATCAGTATCACTGTTAAAGAAATCCAAATAGTATTTCCTAGTCCTGTCTGATAATAAAATCTGCATGGCAGGATTATCAAATAAACAGATTACCATATGTATTCCCCAGAAATTCTAATTCAATATACCCCAGAATCTGTATGTGTAACAAAAAAACCCAGGTGGTTCCTATTTTAGGCAAGTTTTGGAAACAGATGAATTGCTTGGGACTGGGGAAATGACTCATCAGCAATTAAGTAATAATGCCTCTACTTAAGGAACAATGCCAAGTTATCTAAAACCATTGAATAATTATAACATATACACTGCTCTAAAAATTGAATTAGCTATTATTTCAACCAGATGGATTATTCCTTTTTAAATACAATTATAGAAAATTTTAAAGATTTTGAAAATATCACTAGCTTTTCATGTTTGCATATGTTATGCTTTTTATGTTTTATGGAACAGAACAAAGCATCATTGGTTCTACTGTATAAATTATCCATGAATATTGTAGCAGGTTTGTCAGGTATCCAAATTTTGAGGTGGAATTTCGGTTATGCAGGTTTCTTCCTGCCCTCAAACTCCTATATGTATGCAAAAATAAACTGAATAAATGCCAAACATTACATTAGGTACAGAAATAAAATTGTCCAGAGCTACTGAATGCTACTTACACTGTTTTGATGTTATCATACTAATTTTACTAACAAATGTTTATTGTATTATATCATTCTAGTTAGAATCATTTTCCATACACAA